AACTTTTGAAAACTTTTTTCAGCCATCGATGCACCTTTCTAATGCAATTTGTTGTACTAAAATACAGCCTTGTATCGGACGGACAGACAAACAGTCCTCGGAATTCAACTTATCTCGTCACCCTGATCATTTATATGATCCCTATCTATCTCGATTAGTTTAAGGTAATACAAACAACCGTTAGGTGAACAAAATTATTATGCTATGTAACAACATCTTGCAAGAGTGTAGCGAGTGGATGAATAAAATTCAATGAAAGGACCAGCTTTTACCAATAGACCTAAACTTCGAAAAGTGGTGAAGTAATTTGAAGACAGTTTTCAAACTTTGTTACTGTTTTCTTGTAAACGTTTTAATGCCTCAAGAGGAATTACAATTGGTACATGCCCGCTGAAAATTCATATGCGTATACTAGTATGGTATACACATTTTCAAATACATGGATGTGTCATAAGTCATCTTTGGATCTCCCTTTCTACGTATTGATCAAAGTCGAACCACTTTAGCAACATGTTTCATAATCGTGCTCCCTCCCTGCAGAAAAAATAAATCACTAACATGAAAAAAAAATAACGGCTTACTGTTTTTTGTCTGTCTATTGTCTTCTTTGCGTAATTTATGAAGTGTCTGATTGCTAAGTTAAGTTAGGCCAGAGCGCTCACTGCGTTCTACAGGTGCCTTTGTTGTTGATTTACAACCAGTGATTACGCCGCCCATATTGTTAGCAATTGAAATATAGACAATACAATTTTGTTCCTTGTTAAGCTATCCACTCTGTAGTAATTGATCTATCGCTGACAAGCTCAACAAATTTACTGTTTACAAATTTAATTTCTTGTAAGGAAGTTTGTGACTGCAGTTCTTTGTTTGAACTTTTGCTAGAAAAATAAGTACAAATCATTCGTGTTGGTTGCCAATATGCGGGTGTGCCGCATTCCAGTGACACTGAGACGTTAGAAAAAATGTGCAGATTAGACTTACGAACTTTGCTTACACATTTCAATAAATATTTAGATCAGAACTTAACACAAATTCCAAACACCTATCAATGGATTGGCAGTTGAAATCTGGAAAAATTGTTAATGGAGCAACAGCCGATACTAATCAAACGGTTGATTGCGGCTAACTGTTCTATGTTTGTTTATATTTCGAAACTACAAAGTCATTGCCACAGCGCGGAACTACAAGAGCCTTGCGAATTCCTAAGAAAATTATTCTCCTATTTTCTGCTAACCGCTATCTGAATCGACGACAAAAGATCTACGCTAAAAATAGGGAACCAAGACGCTGGTATTTGATGTTATGTTTCTCGTTTTACACACATTTATACATATGTATAGGAATAGCGGCATATGGGAAATTTAACGAATGGCGCCTCCCGTTCGCCCTTCGTATGAAGTCGCTTGTTCTTTGCGCCTCATTATGATGGACGAGGCTGTCGGCGGCTGCTAGCAATGTCAGAATTCTGCCCCAACAGCTGCCAAATGCAGATAATCATCCGACAAGCTCTTGTGGAAGACCGTCCAAAGTTGGCTCCTCAGCCAAGTCGATTCATACTCAGCATTCGCGGTGTGCAGTCAAGGCAATCATAGGCGGAGTGTGTTGGCGTTGGGGTATGAGAGAATTTTCTCAAGTGTTTTTCCTTTGCTACTAGGCGGCGGCATTTTGCGAATTTGTCACGTACGCCCATTTTAGAGTAAACGGACATGATTATGCATTGTTAATAACTTCATTGGGCAAGTAGACTCATCAGCGGTGAACGCGGTCTTCCATACTCAAGTGGAGTTCATGCGATTAACTTACGTAAGTACTTACAGAAGCACATGTGTACTTACATGTGTATATACTTTTGCCGTTGTATTTTGGCTCATTTGCTTGCTGTAAAAATTCTAATGTGTCGCCAAGTTTCGCTTGCCAACAATGAAAACGCCAGTGACCGTTATTTACGAGCAGTGGCTTGAAATGATTAAAGATAAAGCATAATTGCATTATTGACCCTCTTGCGTAGGAAACCACTCCGAATTACAATTATATTTCAAAAACAGGACATTCACCTAAAGCTATCGTACTATCGTTTTAAATAAAAACATGTTTCTCTTTTTGTCACCCAAACCGGTTTTTGTAGGCGAAAGCAGTACAAGGAAAGACGACGGGATCGTGCCTCTCGTGCTCGGCATACTCTCGTGCGCGGCATACTTTGGGTTCTTGTTCGAACCAGTTTGCTACTGCAGGATTTTTAACTAAAATTTAAAAGGTGTCGATGAACATTCTACCACAGGGAAACATGTTTCAATTTAAAAATGTGGGTATTCGAAAGCTTTGAAAACTCAGTTCCATTTTTGGAAGTCCGTAACTATAAAATATGTTTGATAACATAGGGGAAGTAAAGAAGGGCGCGAAAAAATACATTTCGCTACAAAAATGAATATACTTGTGATCAAAATAACCATATAACCGTTTTAAGATATGATCAAATTTGGGATGGATCTTTGACTTAAGCCGTTCAGTAAAGGTCTCCCTTATCAGTCTATCTTTGCATCCATCACTGTTAATTACGATAACATCTGATAAGAGGAAGAAATTGGTTCAAAAATCGTCTATAGACGGCAAAAAGAAACCAAAGACTCTTGCCATATCTTAAGGATCTGCACAACACGGTTTAGCGTTTTTATTCTCTGAGCAGGGTATATGTATGAAGTTTGCCACGATCTTTGTAACACCCAAAAGGAAACATCGGAGACCCTATAAAATATATACATAAATGATCTGCGCGATGAAATGAGTCGATTTAGCCTTGTCCGTCTGCCAATTAGTCTCTTAGTTTTTGAGACATTGATCCAAAATGTTGCACACATCCTTTTCTCGCAAAGAAGCTGCTCATTTGTCGGAATCGCCGATATTGGATGGCTATAACATATTGTACATATGTAGCTGCCATACAAACAAATCCAACAAAATGAGAATAATATATTTTTATATTTTATGCTATAAAAAATGGAAATGTGTAAGGTATTATAACTTCGGTGCAGCCGCAGTTAACGTTTTTATACTCTCGCAACCTGTTTCTACAGAGAATAATAATTTTGTTCACCTAAAACTGATCGAGTTAGATATGGGGTTATATACGTTTATATAAATGATCAGAATGAAGAGAGGAGTTGGAATCCGAGTGACTGTCACTCCGTCCGTCCGTCTATGCAAGCTGTAACTTGAGTATAAATTGAGATATCTTTATTAAACTTGGTACACATAACTAAGCTCCACAACGAGATATATTATTTTTTATACAGGATCACATTCGGGAGGGGCATCTGTAGTTTAAGTTTTTTTTTTAAGTGGGCATGATCCCGCCCCGAATAGGTTTAATGAGCATATCTCCTAAAGGCTAGAATAACAAAATTCACTGAGAACAAATGTTTTTAAAACCTCTACCTACAGAGTTAAAATGGGTGAAATCGGGTGGCAACTCCGCCCACTCCCTATATAACGGTACTGTTAAAAACTACTAAAAGCGCGATAAATCAAGCACTAAACACGCCAGAGACATTAAATTTTATCTCTGGGATGGTATGAGATGACTTTATAGGAACCGCGTTCAAAATTAGACAGTGGGCGTGGCACAGCCCACTTTTAGGTGAAAACCCATATCTTGAGATCTGCTTAACCGATTTCAACCAAATTCGGTGCATGACGTTCTTTTCATATTTCTATGTCATAGTGCGAAAATAGGCGAAATCGAATTGCAACCACGCCTATTTCCCATGTATCACCATTTTAAATTCCATCTGATTCTTTCACTTTCCACTATGCAAATCAAGCAACAATGATTGTATCGGGGTAAAACTATGCGTGAATAATGCGTTTAAAGTATGCACCTTCTGACCAAAAATTGTCTAAATCGAACAAAAACTGTTCAAGCCGGTAAATACTTCCTTAATATAAAATTTTGCAACACCTGAAATAATTTCCCGGGCTTTGATCCTTGCGAGTTGCGAGAGTATAAAATGTTCGGTTACACCCGAACTTAGAACTTCCTTAGTTGTTATAGGTATGAAGTAGTGTGTAGTTCAGTCAAATATTTCTTAAATGTACCTAATTCGCCCATTAGTGTAATCAAATAAAACTTGGTATTCCATGATTAACTTACTTTTGAAAAACGGCTTAATGACACAACAGCATTATTCTCGTACTTCGGATTATATGTATAAGCAGCAAAAATCCGTAGTAGTCCAATGGCGCATAACTCGGATGGCTAACCTCTCGTCAAGCCAATAAATTAGCATAGAGGAACCACCGAAGCACGCCCAGTAGAAAATAACCACAAACTAACGAAAACCGTACTGAGAGCGTGCCGCTGCAAAGTTTAATATCACAATCTCATGCCATATAGCATACACAGGCACATTTGTATGTATTTATGTGCATACCGAAGCATGTCATAACTAGTCTCAACAAGCATTGGCAACAACAACCATTTTTCACTCACACTCAATTAAAACAACAATAGCCTAAACGGTTAAAGAAATAAGAATAACATTTGTACTTCGGGAGCCTTGAACGACTTGAACGCCAGCCCATCAACACGTGCTCCTCTACTCCCCGCTTCAACTAACACACGCCGACATTGCCCAACGCCGCTTTTGGTCATGGCTATATTTCGCAAATTCGGCTTTGGGCAATGTCCCCACATCCCTGACAATTAAACTACGAGTCCCGTTACACACGTACCCAGGCGCTTGGGTGTCCGTTGAGGTATCATTACTTTTTATGCTGGTATGTGTGTCCTCGCGACCGTGTATGTCCGTGTTTCCTCCATGTCGTCAAGCAACAGCACGTTTCTGGGTAAAACATTCTTGCTATTGTACGGTGGGTGCCGCAAACGCGCAAGGTCAATAAGCGCCTTGGTTGTGTACCATCGATGTTGTTGTTGTTCCCATAGATGTGCTTGTGCTTGGTTTCTATTTGATTTGTATTTTTGCATTTGCTTGTGGCAGGCTCTACGTTTAACAGCATTTTGTCATGTCATCGACGGAATTATGAAACGTTGATTTTCTGTAATTTTTTCTAACAATCCAAAACAAAACACAAAGAAAAACGTATGCAAACAATTGGTTTGTGGCAACTACAAAGCGAAATTAGGTTGCAAGTTGTTGAATGTGCGCGAATTTTCGAGGCATGAAATTGGAGCAAATTGATCATGACAACTATGTTCGCCTAGCGAGTATCTAAGCAAATAAACGCCATCAGACGCTAACTTGTGAAGGCGATTTTCAATTGGAATTCGAGTAAATATGTTTGTGTAGTGGCAGTTGTTTTGGCTATGGCAGTTCTATTGATTTGCAAGCTGGTGGAGTGAGTTGCAGATTTAGCTTTGATCATTCTCTAAATGATACTTGTTTATTTGATGTTTATACTCGTATATGCAATGAGTAGTATGGAGTTATTACCGTTTAATTGCAGAACGAATTACTTTATACCAAAAATAAGGGAAAAAAGTTAATATTTGCATATTTATGACTCTGGATATGTAAGTTGTTGACCTACTATTGTGTATATGTAAGTGGAATCTGTTAAACAAATAATACATATATGCATGTAACATGTTATTGTAGAGCACTATTTAAGCTTCGTGGCTTAGAATATCTTTATACATTTTAGGCACAAGGACACACTGTTATTAGAATGAGACACTCTATGAATTTAATTAAGATAACTCACATATCAACTGGAAAATCGAAAATCTTAATATTTAGTATATGGTGGTTACGGGAAGTATTGATTTGATTTAAAACGGGGTTAGAGAAAAACAACAATTGTTTATAATTGAAAATCGCTTTATTGTTTTTAAAAATATTCTCCATTAAAATCTATACACTTTTGCACGCGTTTGAACCAATTATCGAAGCACTTTTGCCATTCTGATTGAGGTGTCTCCAAAACTTGCGTTCTGGAGCGCATCAACCGCCTCTTCAGGTGTCGAAAAACGTTGACCTCTAAGTTTATTTTTTACGTACGGAAAAAAAAGAAGTCATTCGGTGCCAAGTCAGGACTATGCGGCAGATGACTCATATAATCGATGTTTTGAGTGCTCTAAAATGCAATTATCGATGTTTGAAAGCTCGCATTGGCATTGGCGTTCTTGAAAGACGACTGACAAACAAATGATTGTGTACCACTCAGAATTTACAGTTCTAGGTTATTCTTGTGGTAATATTAAATATATATAATAAATATTTTCGAAATTACGGTTTACTTCATATCGCATACATCGGCCAATATGTGAGCTATCTTAAAATTAAGCGGATGTATTGTTCTTATAATGGTGTTTTTTGTACCTAAAATAAATAAAATCGGGTGAAAACTTGTCCTAGATCCCATATAACTAATCACAGAATTTTCAAAACGGGTTGCTTTTACTCCATATATGTTGACGATGGTATGTGAGGTACCTTTATAAAACTTAGGGAGCATTTTATTCTATTAATAACATGTGTCTTTAAGAAGCAACCAAACCACACCAAACGGTTGTTTTTTCTGGATGACGTGGCAGCTCTGGAATCTCTTCAGGTTGCTCTTTGTCCCAAATGTGACAATTTTGTTTGTTTACATACCCATTGAGCCAGAAATGAGCCTCATCGCTGAACCAAATTTGGCTCGTGGGATCTTTTTGGAACTTTTCAAAAGCCCATAGAGCGAAGCTATGTCGCTTGGGAAGGTCGAGCGGCTTCAGTTCTTGCACAAATTGTATTTTGTACGCTTTCAATTTAAGATCTCGACGTAAAATGCGCCAAGTCTTTCCTTATGTCAGTCCGAATTACTGCAAACGGCGCCGAATCGACTCTCCACGGTCTTCGTGTACACTCTCAGCAACGGCCGCTATATTTTCTTCACTGCGTGCTGGACGTTGTCTATTGGGTCGAATGGGTGATGGTGTTGCGAATAGTACGCTCAGAACATAAATTTTCGTAATAAAGTTGAAGGATTTGTAAACATTGTTCAGGCGTAAGTCTTTAAAAATAACATGACAGCTTGAAATGACTCACACGTGATCTGTCAAAAAAAGGCTATTAAAAAAAGTACCTCTACTTGGATCACCCGTTACAATTGAAGGAATGTGCAGGAAAATTGAAAATACGGGACCTATGTCATTCACCTAGCACAGGTGGTACTGACTTCTTATACTAGTCATCTGAATGACATTGTAAAAAGTAAATTCGAAACCTGTGTTAATATCTTCCAAGTTGGAGATTTCCAACTTTTCCAACGTTATTTTCAAAAATATGAGAATTTGCAAACATATGAGTGCAAAATATCGGATCATGAAACTATAAAAATTAAAATAAAAACTAAAAAACATTTTAAAATGAGTACGACTAAGACAATTACTCAGAACTGTCAATAACTAAATTTTAAAATGTATGTCAAAATTAACATTGGAAAAAGTAGTAACATTGAAACTTATGAACAAATGGTATGACCGTGAACTTGCCCAACTGAATAAACTCAAGTATGACATTTACTGAAGCAATTCAAACCGAAAGTTGGGATATGTATAAATCAGTACAAAGAAGTTATTGTATAAAAAGTTAATTAAATAGAAAAAATTAGATTACATTCCATGTTCAACGAAATTCTACTGTGTAAAAATTATAATAAGAAAATGTGGAGAAATTCAAAACATTATAGGTATACTAGTGAACATAAGAAGACAATACACAAATTTGCAAATGAATTAAAATTATTTTTCATTAAAAGCATTATTGAAATAAATAGTAGTATTCGCAATTTTATTTTGAACATCAATATACAGGTGGGTTGCAATAATATTCAGATTTGATTGTTTTACCTTTCTGCAGATAATCAATCAACCAAATTCCTTTGGCATCCCAAAAAATTGATGCCACAACCTTCTTTGCTGATCGTTGTGACTTCATCTGCTTTGGAGCTGAACAACTATCTTCAGTCCACTGTAAACGTTCTTGTTTCAATTTAGGATCATGGTGGTAAATGCAAGTCTCATCCATAGTTATAAAACGACGCAAGAAATCGGTTTTATTCCTCTTAAAATGCTCTAAGTTATGCTGAGAAACTGGCTTTCGATCCAGTTTTTGTTGAATTGTGAACGTGTGCGGCACTGACTTTCCAAACAGCTTTTTCATATGTACTTCTCCATGTAAAATATGAAGAACTAGTTTATCTGAGATGCCTATGGCATTAGCAATTTCACGCGTAGTTAAACTTGGTTCTTTGCTAACAATATTATGAACTTGCCCACACCAGGGTTGCGATTTATGGTCGTCCTTCGCCTGGATCCTATTCAAGCCTAGTACGACCACATTAAAATTCACCAGCCCAAAATTCAACGGTGCGTTTTGAAGGTGGGAACTCCTTATACACTTCTAATCATAGTTCATAAATTTGCTTTGCTTTTAAACCTTTCAAAACAAAGAATCTAAAATTAAATTTTTTCCATATTAAAAAAATACTCCGACACGTCAACTTCAAATGGCTTTTAAACAAAGAACTAATTCACAGAATCACTTGTAACTTTGCATGTGTTCTCACGACAGATCTACCAACTTCCGTAAAAAAATTTGGAGCTAGTAGTGCTTTTTCTTGGTGAGACCAACCAACCTTTAAATGAAATCCTACAAATTTACTAAATTATCATCTGATGATACTGTTCAATTTGTGCGATTGTCTAAAAATAAAATTGAAATTGAAATTGAAATTGAAATTTAAAATTTCTATCCGATGGCGTATTAAAGGATTCTATTGAATGTACGGCATATTTTTATGCAAAGATAATAAATGAAAGTATGGAAGCAGGCAAGGTTCCTCAAAAATGAAAGATATCGACGATAACAACAGTGAAGAAAGTTGAAAACTCCCATAAAAATGGAGAGTTTAGGCCCATAAATACACTTCCATGCAATGAAAAAATAATGGAAACCGCTATCAAGAATATGCTTCTGAAATACTTAGAAGAGAACAAATTAATAATAAAAGAACAATCGGGGTTCAAAAGAACGCACTCATGTGAAACGGCACTAAATAAAGTGATATCTGATTTGAAGGAAGAGCTAAATGGGAAAGAAAGTATTCTATCGTTTTTTTGGATTTAAAAAAAGCTGTTGAAACAGTGGATCGTGATGTCCTGGCTAAAAAACTTAGAAAGATGGGAATACGTGAAATCGAGCGTAAGTTTAATAATAATAATAAATAAATATAGCCAAAAATAGATAAAATCGGGTCAATACTACCCCTATCTCTCATATACCTAATATAAAACTACTTTCGAACTCCCGGATAGCCTTATGCAATATATATCAGTCAATATGTAAGATATTTTAGCAAAATTAACAGAACGTGCAATATTGGATATACCATAGTTTAATGTCGAAATTATGTGAATTTAGTTTGCGAATTATCCCATTTCTCAAATACTACATATGTATGTATATTGATTTTCTTTATTCTAACAGACCTTATGCCATACATGTCCTTCAATGTGTGTATGATATATTTATAATATTGCTTGAAAATATATATAATAATATAATACATGAAAAATATATATCAATCATCGCTTTCTTTGTCCCCAATATAGCATATATAATAATTTCCTTTAATAAAATCAAGGGAATATATTTTTTTATATATTTCCTTGTGTGAGAATATGAATGAAATTGTTCTGGCCTTATATCCCTAATATAATGAATTGCGATCCTCGGTTGACATTTTCACATCAACTCATTATATTAAATTCAACTTCTTCAATTGACCCTATATCCCATATATCTCATTTAAAAAAAATTTTAATATAATTTTCTTTGACGCAAATGAAAATATTGCAATGAAACTAAGTGAGTCATATCAGAGTCAGTTACATATAATATAACTAAGTAAAATACCAAATTTGATTATAATCCATTTCGTCGAATAATAAATGTTGAATTGTTTTGCAACATTTTTTAATATAAAGTTTTCCTAACACCCTTGCAAGTTGTAATAGTATTAAATGTTCAGTTTCACCCGAACTTTATAATTTTATTAAATATTAATTCAAATATATGTACATATATAAAACTTTTCATTGAAATAGATGATGCTTACATGTTTACCAACGAATAAAATGAAAAAATGAAAAAATAGCAACAACACACAGAACTTTTCAGTCCAGGGAAGTTTTGTTCTGATTGTTTCGAATAGACGTTTAGGGACCGATAAGTAGCAACCAAACTTTAAGTACAACGCTCTTCCGTCCCCGCGGTCAGAAATCCGAGCAGAACAAATTTATTTTTGTTCGGCAATTTTAATGTTAAATTGTGATAATAAAGTTATACAAACAA